GTCAAATAAGGAGCTTTCTTTATGTCATTTTAGAGCTGAAATTCAGAATTATTTTTCCCAAGCCAATTTTTCTCTTTGAGCTAATTTTGCAGTGTCAGGATGATGCTCATTTGAAACTTATATCCCACAGCTTCAGCCTTGAGATCTCCATAATCACAAACCTCCCACTGTGAAAATATTACATGTAGCTAGTCATCTCGAGGCTGAAAACATGCATGCATCAAGTAAAACATGGCTGAACATAATTAGCTACCTTATCCCAGTGGTCACAGGAACCTTAAAATCAATAACAACATTAGTAAACAACAGAATGCACAGCACCAGCGCTTCAAAACGGGTCTATAACACAAAGTTGAGTGATTGCCTATTTGATTCTCGCATCTTGTCTGGAATTATAAATCAAGCTATTGTTGTTGTAAAAGAAAGCTGTGGATAGTTAATGTGGACCTGCAGCTGTTCTAGCAAGCTTGGTCCCCAGGCTACAATTGCGTTTTGAGAGGCAAAGCTGCACAGACTCCCGTCCAATAAAATTTGTTTTCAGAAAAGTTTGGAGCATAGAGTACTCACTGTTTATCACATGATTTATGCAGCTTGGTAGGCGTTTCAGCTCAACTCTTCTTGTCTCAACTTTTCTGGCTTGTCAGCATTGCTCTTTTTTTTGCATAATGTTACAATTAGTTTTGGTTAAATGTTGCGCAAGGGAACGTGAAAGCAACAGAGGAGGTGTAAAAGCCGATGAATAAGTGACTTGCGGCTCAAATTTTGAGGTCTTTTTGCTCTGTTTTCAGTTTCCTTTCACACATTCACTCACATGAAATTCAATAACCTTCGCTGTTTATACAGCCTTCTGCATTTCATTATCATATTAACTTCCTTAACAGCATGAAGCTAATTTGTGAGCTATGGATGTCTTTGGAGAAGGTCACAGTAATGAAGTGTTCACCAAGAACATGATTTCAGCTTCACTTATTAAACATTTGCTAATTGTTTATATTTGCGTGATTGGAATTTTTAATAAGAAAATAATTTTCTGGACATGATGTGCAGTACCTGTGGCTGTCATCTATGCTTTCTCTGGGCCATCCCCCCCCCCCCCCCCCCACCCCCTTTTTTTTTTTTTTTTTTTTTTTGTTTCTAATTATCTCCTCTGACATAATCTTCTCCTGCAATTTCACCTTTGTTATATTTAAGAAATGGTTGGATTGTAAAATCATGTTTTCTGTAATGGTTTTCTGCAATCATCTGGCTAACAGTCTCAACACGAGATGTGTGTACTGAGGTAATCCTAGGAAATCCAGCACAAATAATATTTTGATGGATTTTATATATACATTTACAGCATGTTCATCTGTCAGAAAAGATTATTTCAACACAAATCCAACTAATGATGCAGGTCCTTCTAAATATCCTCTAACAACACTCAGGCTTTCTGAAGTAGTACTCAGGCACAGCAGCACTTTGGGCTAAATGATATCGTTGGCATGTTAACATGCTCGGTCACAATGTCAACATGGCGATGTTAAGTACAGAAGGTATAATGTTTACCATATTCAGCACCTTAATTAAGTGTGCTAGCATGTTAACGGTTGCATCTACTGCAGCAGAAAACACAAGGTACAGCTGACACTAATGGAAATGTCATTAGTTTTACAGGTGGGAAATAGCCCAAAGTATCAGACAAATTGAAATGACCTGCTGATGACACTAGAGGAAAGAGT